AGTACATTAGCTCTTTCCACATCCTCTGTCACTAGGTTGCCTCCCTCATTCAGTAAGGGGGAGTCACAGTTGTATTTCAGTGGCCTCGTAGCCTCTATTCTTCTTTATGGGGTGTGCTCTCTGGCCAGACTACATCTCCTATAATGCACCAGGGCCAGGGGCTCCCATGATAAACCCCCTCCCCAAGTGGGGAGGGACACTGTGATGCATCATGGGAGATGTAGTCCAACCAGGAAGCCTGGCCTATAAAGGAGAGTGGGAGCATGCAGCAGCTGGACTACAACCCCCATGAGGTGCCACAGCAGCGTTTCCAAATCAGCATTTTTCAGGATTTAAATTTCTGTTGAAAATGTATTCTCCCCCCGGCCCCCGCCCCGTGGGGAAAAACATTCCCAATTATTTTCATTCTGCTCTAGCAAAGGAGCCTTAGTGCCAATAAGAATCAGTCCCAGAACTGGTCTCGATCGAACAGGCATGCCAAGGCTGCACCCGCGGGCTGTGGGTGGAGGTGTTAGCTGGCCACACCCGCTGCTGGGCAGGTGTCCAACCCGTGATTTGTTTCTACAGGGTGTTTTCCACCCTTCTGCTCTCCAGCCCTTTGTTCCAGTTTCTTCTTCCTGTTTAATTTGCAGCTGATGACAGATCCAGCTGTTGCAGCACACGCCTCAGCTGGATCAGCTGGGCAAATAGACAGGTTCACTCCAAATCACTCCCACACACCTGGGTGCTCTCCCAGGGCCCCCAGGTACAGCAGACGCTCTGTAGATATCTGCGGAAGCTCTGCAAAGGAGCTCTGATCAGGGTAACAGCGGGGCACTGCTGGGCAGGGCGAGATCCGGCTGGCCTGAGCAGTCTCTGCCTCCTCCGTCACAGACCGAGCACCCAGATCAGTGCAGCTGACTCGTTGAAACCCAGTTCTTGGGGAAGGGGCGGTTCCATTTTATGACTTCTCGCAGCACACCAGCAACGGCTGAGTGGAAAGGAAGTGAGGTCTGGGAGCCAGGACTCCTGGGTCTTGTTCCCAGCTCTGGGGAGAATGTGATCTAGCGGTTAGAGTGGATGAGGACTCCTGACTTCTGTGCCCTGGTCTGGGGAGGCATGCTTAGACGAGCAACAGAAAGTCGGGACAACTGGGTTCTCTTCCAGTCTCTGGGAGAGTCTTGTCTAGTGGTTAGAGTTTGGAGGACCAGTAGCCTGGTCACCTGGGTTCTATACCCAGCTCCTCTTTTGACTCTCTCTGTGACTTTGAGCAGATGGAGGCGCGGCTCTGTGCCTCAGTTTCCCTATCTGTAAAATGGAGCTAATAATCCCTGCCTCGAGAACTGCTGAGGGTTGTCAGCTAGTGGTGCCTTTTCGGGAAAGGCCAAAGGCAGCAGCAAACCCCCTGGTACAGCTCTCCATGGGCTCAGCACGCTCCTGGTAAAGGCTTTGGGTGGGAGATGAGTTAAACTCCAAAGGTGCTTAGACAGACAGCTTGTAAATAACAGTGTACTTGAAAGTGCGTGGTGGAGAATTGGGAGGGGCCAGGGGCTTATGCGCTGGCCTGTTAGTGTTAGTACAATGGTTGTAATTAACCATAAATACTTACGGATAGCGCGTCTCCGAGCCTCGCAGTAGTCGGCTCACCCAGGGTGAGGGATTTTGTCGCTTTGGATGGGCGAGGAACGTTTTCCATCATGTCTAAGGCCAGGTCTGCCCCAGGGGCTGCTGCCGGCACAGCTCTGTCGGTCAGGGGCATGAAGAGGTGAGATCCCTGACCAGCAGAGCTGTGCTGGCAGGAGCCGATAGAGGAGATGCAGCTAGACCAGCCCAACTGCACTTTGCACTGGGATAGCTTATTTTGCCCAGGGCAGGGGGCGAGGGGGTGGAATAAGCTATGCCAGGAAAAGAATCAGCTGTGCTGGTACGGCTGGATCCCTTCTAGGTGCGTTTTGCCTGTGTAGACCTGGCCTGAGACTGGAAAGGTTTGGGGGTTCTGGCTTGATAAACATTTGTTGTGCAGCTGCTCGATGCTTCAAGGTGCTGTGTTGGCAGTCGCTGACCCTCAGAAGGCAAGCACCATCATTATCCCTGTCGTACAGATGGGGAAACTGAGGCATGGACTGGCTATCCCTTGCCCCAGTTCATACAGTGGCAAAGCTGAGAAGGGAGTCCGGGAGTTGCCAGTTCCACTCTAATCGCTAGACAACATTCCCTTCCCAGAGTCAGGAATAGAACCCAGGCGTCCTGACTCCCAGTGCCCCCCCCCACTCTAACCACTAGACCCCACTCCCCGTCCAATGGTCAGGCATAGAACCCAGGCGTCCTGACTCCCAGTCCCCCTGCTCTAACCTCTAGCCCACATTTTCTCCCAGAGCTGGGAATAGAACTCAGGCATCCTGGCCCCCATTCCTGCTCCATCTGCTGGGCCATGCCACCTCCTTTAAAAGCTCTTGTTTCCTATCAAAGCAACCACCCAAGGAAGCTGCTTTCTGCCTGGCTGGGGGGAGCAGGGGAAGGTCTCTGAGCTGTCAGGATGAGTCGGGGAGGCTGGACTTTCTGGTTCCCTGACTCACTGTGACACCGATCTAGCTGTGCCCAGGCAGCTGCCAGTCTGAGCTGGAGACTTGAAACAGCCTCAGCTCCCCGGCCCTAGTGTTGGACAGGAGCCCGGGAGGGGAAGGAACCGAAGCCACGTCTGGGAGGAGAGTGAACCCAGGAGCCAGCCCCTCCAGCTGGAGCTGGGCTCGTCATTCCAATCCCATGGGCCCAGAGGCCACCCCAGGACGTCTCCAATGGGCACCGGGCACCGACCAGGGAGTCCATCCATGCAGCGCTGGGGGGATCTACCAGGGGCTTAGCTGCCAATGGATGATGCTGGCCGAAAGTCTGCGCTAATTCCGCCTGTGCCCTCTGACCTCAGCCCCAGGAGAGGTAATTTCGCTGGAGAATGAGCAGCCAGATCCCGCTCTGCAGGGATTCGAGGCAGAGCTCGGGGGGCGCTGGGCCCAGGGGGAGCGGCTCTGCACTGGGTGCTGAGAGCAGAATCTCTTATACAGTAGCGCCAGGCAAGGGGATCCGGGACGGAGGGATAGAGAGGGGACTTGAAGGGGCTTCCACTCTCTGCTAGAAACACGGGGCATGGGGGCACTTTCAGAGCTGGTATTTGAAGGGAGGGGTTTTCTTTTCTTTCTCCTTTTTAAAAATCCCTCCTCCCGCCCCTGGGCCCCCGCAGCATCAGGCGCCGGGTCCTGTCCCACGCTAGCATGTGGTCTGTGTGTACAGCTTGGGGTCTGGGCGTCACCTTGCTGGTCTACGGGCCAGTCCTTGCTGGCTTAAGCACCCTGCAGTCAGTGCAGTTACCCCAGGGCTGCATTTGCCCCCCCACACACACACACCCATCCCCACCCTGTGGTTTATTAGCTGCTGTTCATGCAGAGGAGAGAACAAGGTTTAGAGTTGCAAGGCGGGATGAGGCTGCGGCTTGGCAGAGTAACAAACAGCTCGGGGCGGGGATTACCTCTCTTGCCCAGAGCTGGGACAGTAGGGGGTGGGCACTGAAGCATCTTCCTGCCCTGCCTCCGGCTGCATTTCAGGGGTTGGGGAGGTTCTAGGTTAGGCAGGGGCCAGAGTGGCTTTGAGCACGGTCAGGGTCAATCATTTCCTGCCCCCAGGGGAGCCGCGCGAGCGCCCCACATTTCACAACCTCCTCTTTCCACACCGTTTCCAGCAACAGGTGCAACATCTCAGCTTGCTGCAATCTGGCTGGGGTGCAGAGGAGGAGGAGGAGGAAGGACTGTGTGTGGAGACAGCATTGGGGCCCGGGTCAGCCTGTCACTCAGCTGTCGGTGGCTTTCGAGCCCCACTCACTGGAGCGCTTGGGGAATTTGCCACCTCCTGGGAGCCCCGGATGCAAATGCCTGCCTCGACCCAGCCCCCAGCAGTGCCCGGCGGTTCTGCGAGGTGTTTCTGAAATGCTGGGGCTGCAGGGCTCATGCCAGGGAGGGGCCAGAAGGCCTGATCCGAAGCCCACTGGGGATGTCAGTGGAAAAGCTCCCACTTCAGCCGGCTTTGGATTGGGGCTTGGATCTGGCCCAAAAGATCATCGAGGCCAGGAACACACATTCCCCAACCCTTTGGGGAGGGCGAGTGGGACCCGGGCAGCTTGGCCATATAGTCTCCATAAAGGGCTCCCCACCGCCGAAAAGAGCATGAGAAACAAGTTGAGCGACGGGGGGAGGGAGGGGGAATCAGGTTTCGGGAGCAAGAGGAGGGATGGCAGAGAGGGGCTTGGGATGTGATGAGGACAGGAACACTGTGTAAGCATCGGCTTGGGGTGTGGGGGGGGGTCCTGACCCGGGCACCACTACAGGAAGAGTTAGTCTGGGTGCGAAGATGGCACCAACCTGAGCTAAAAAAGCTGCCCCATCAACTGGCAGTGGCAGTAGGCTATTATCTTGTATGTGGACTGGAGGGGACACGCATGACACGCCCACCCAGCATAGGGGGTGTGGCCGGAGTGCTGTGAGCTCTTCTTTGATTCCCAGGGCCTATAGTGGGCAGAGTGTAAGTTAGAACAGCCTTGAGGCTGCTCCAATTGATACGGGTGTGCTGGGTGGAGCCCTGCACAGTCCCAGAACATGAGGGGTGCAAAGGCTTAAAGGCATCTCTCGCATCCATCTTGCCCCAGCAGCAGGAGCCGAACCACCTAGAATCAAGCCCCAAGAGGCTTCTCCTTGGCATCTCCTGCCACCTGGGTCAGCCTCCCAGTATCACGATGGCCCCATGCGCGCCCCGCTCTCAGCTGGAAAGGCTTCTTTCCTCCCTGATGCTGCGGCTGCCTGCGGGGCTTCCGTGATGGCGCGAAGGGGCAGAAAGCTCTGCCCCGGTGAAGCATGACTGCGTACGGCCCTCTCTCCAGCCGAGCGCTTCCGCTCCAGGTGGGAGGCTGGGGCGGGGACTCTTTCATGTGGTTACCTCACTCGTTTCAACCATCTCTCCCCATCCTGCTTTCTTGACAGCTCAACAGCTGGGGCCGGGCCCCTGCACATTTCACCGAGGGCCTCACCCTTTGCAGATAACCAGCCATGCCCGGCCGGGCGCTCTGCCTCCTGTGTAGTTTGGTGATGCCCGCCACCTTCCTGTGCGCAGATCTGCTTCCCAGGGTCACCTTTCCAAGAGGTGAGCAAAGGGGGCTCGGGGGAGAAAGAAGGATGGATGGATGAGAAAGCAAGAAAAGAGGGGTGATGGGAAGGAAGGAAGGAAGAAAAGGAAAGAAGAGTGCAAAGACAGACAGACGGGCCTGGACAGACACGGCAGCGAGAATAAATAAAATGGAGAAAGCAAAGCGAGAGAGACCGTTGGAAGGAGGAAATGAAGAAAGGGGTTAAAGGAAGAGAAGGAGAGAACGGCGCCCCTCCGAATGGCCCGCTGTCAGCCTCCCAGGCCCGGGGGGAGGGGCATGGGGCGCCGGCAGAGAGAGAGGCTCCTTGCCTGTAGCCAGGACTGGGGGGCTGCGAAATGGCTGGGGGCGAGGGGGGGCATCTCATATCTCCCTGTCGATGCAGCACATGTAAAGAGCAGGGCTCTGATCTCGGAAGCTGCTTTTCCCCTGCGAGGTTGAGAAGGGGATGGAGGCAGGTGCTTCGGAGGGAGGATGTGGGGGGAAGATGTGAGTTCAGATCCTGAACTCTATCCCTGTGCCCCGGCTTGGGGCATCGTGGGCCTAACGTTGATGCCACCTTCCGGCAGGGCTCACCCTGCGGCTTGATCCAGGGCCCACCGGATTCAGTGGAAAGGCTCCTGCTGGACTTTAGATCAGAGCCAATGGGGGCTGTAGAAAGTGGTCTCCACAGGGCCGTGCCGAGCCAGCCTTGCTCACACGGCATCGTGGCCTCCAATAGGGAAGATGGGGCAGGGGGTGGGAGGGAGCTGCTTGGGGGGAGCGGTGTGCCAGTGTGAGCCAAGTGCATGAGGTATTTAGGGAGTGGAGCCATGGGGGGGCAGGGGCACAGTGAGTGCATGGGGAGCTTGCTATGTTTCTGCCCTTGCTGCTTCTCCCCAGCTCCTACAGAGAGCACCCTGGAACTGGCAATCCAGCCCCTATCCAAGGCTGGAGCTAGGCAGGACTGGCTGCCAGGACACCTGGGTTCTATTCGTAGAGCTGGCTGGCTCTCTGTACCTCAGGGTTCCCATCGGGGCAACAACGATGATATTCACAGTCGGGAGAGTTGGAGATGCTATAGACCAAAGGAGCAGCTGTCAGCACACCAAGGAACTGATACAAAGCCCACAGGGGTTGCCAGTGGCTTGAACGGGCCTGAGTTCAAATCCCAGATGGGCCCAGTTTTCCTACCCCAAGGAACTGGCCTGGAAGTCTGACATTCTCTAGCTAGCCTGCCCTGGGCAAGAGGTCACAGTAGATGATCGCAACGGTCCCTTTGGGCTGTGGTGACGTGAGTCTTTCCACCAACTTTGGATCAGGCCCTGATTGTACAAAGCGAATGCATTCTTCCTTTTCCAAACCCAGAGGCAGTACACACCAGAGCTCCGGGGAATGCTTATAATTACCCCGGCATCCGCTGGCACCCCATGAAAACAAATTCCAGCTGCAGCCTCTCTAGCGAGCAGCCATCTATTAAACCCAGTCGCCTTTCAGCTCCTTCTGAAAAGAAAAGAAATATCATGCGGTTTCCGCTGAGCTGGGAAGGGATTGTTGGGTGCGGGAGACGGACCTGATTTAGGAGGGGAGATGAGAAGAGCTAAATATGACTGACTTGGCAAGAGAGGACAAGCATCTAACAAGCACTTGAATATCAAGGAAACAGGATGGTTTGAGAGGGTTTAGCAAGGAGTATTTATTATTGGTAGCACCTAGAGGATCCAATCTAGGAGCTGCATAGACACAGTGAGAGACAGTCCCTGCCCTGGACATCTTATAAGCTAAATAGGCAAGACAGGCTGAGGGTGGGAGAAAGGAAGGATTGTTCTCCCAGTTTTACAGATGGGAAACTGAGACATTAAGGCCCAGATTCCCAAAAGTGTTTAGGCACCTAGACCAAGGGAGTTAGGTGCCTAAATATCGTTGAGGATCTGTACTGAAGCGAGTTGCTGAAAGCCAGGAATAGAACCCCTGAGTCAATGTCCAATGCCGGCGTTACAGAATCCTTGCTCCGAGTAACAGAAAATGGAGCAAAGGAACAGTCAGGCTGAGTATCAGGCAATGCTTCCTAATAGCAGGAGGCAGGGTTGTAATTAGAGGAGTTGGAATTTGTCCAGAATAAAATAATGAGCCTGATACTCAGCCTGACTCCTTTACCTCATTCGAGCAGAGTAAAAGGGGCCTCAAAGTGGTGTGTAAATGACATTGGCTCTCGTGTTATGCTGCCAGAGTAGTGAGGATCAGGCCTCCCCTCCACCCGCATATTTTACTAAAACAATTTCCCTTCCCTGTGGTAGATTATTAAATCAATAAGAGTTTAGCAAGATCTAATATTCTTATTTCACCCTTTGGTTTGGTTTTGTTTTTTGCTTCAGCTCTGGAAATAGACAAGTCACTTTGGCTTTGGGATCTAGTCAGTTTCTGTTCGGGGGGCGGGGGAGGGTGGGGCTGAACTAGATGATCTTGGGAGGTCCCTTCCTGCAGTTCATCTCTGTGATTCTGCAGAGCAAACACACACAATCCTAGGACATGGCTGCAATTTGGGATGCAAATGCCACCGGGGACTTTTTTTGTCTATTTGCTTTCGGTATATATAAATAAACAGTAATGGCCAGGGAAGTGTTTCCGGTTCTCTGAGGCCTTCAGGAAACGTATTTATAGTATTCTAGGCTGAATCTGCATCCCCTTGTGAAGACTTCACCCTTGCAAAAACACTGCAGGATCTTCAATGATCACAAATGAGCCAGTCCTCGTTATTTCTGTCTCATCCTTCTGGCAGCTCAGCACTCCCTAACCCCACGTTGAGGTGGGCACAGAAGGGAGAGCGCCCCCTGCTGAGCCCCCACCCCGCCCCCTGCAGCACCGGGGGGGACATTGGGGTCAGCACTGCCTCTAAGGGAAAAGCACCCCCTACTGAGTCACCAGCAGTCACCGCCTTCCTCTTTCCCACCCACCCTCAGCCTGCTGCTGCTGAGAAAAGGCCACGCTCTTCCCCCAGGCCCTTTGTAGGGTCCTGCCAGCAGCAGCACCGGCTCCAGGGCCATTTCCACTGCCATGTGCTGGCTGCTCCTTCTGCCAGTGTCATACAGCCTACAGAGCCTGCTCCAACCCCCTCTCCGCATCAATTCCTTTGACTTCAGTGGGCTTTGGGTCAGACCCCAAGAGCACTGGAAGTCTATGGGATATAACATGCTACATTACATTACATAGGCACTAAGTTGCAGTATCTAGGTTATGTTACAGTATATAGGTGCCAAGTTGTGGTATATATATGCTACATTACAGTATGTAGGTTCTAAGTTACCGTGTGTGTTTATAGAGAGAGATATGCTATGTTTCAATATATGGGTGCTCTGTTACAGTACATGCGTTTATTATTTATCTGCATTATCTCCAAGAGGCCTTCACTGAGATCAGAGCCCCATTGCGCTAGGAGCTGTACAGACACACAGTGAGAGCCAGGCCACGCCCTGTGGTGCTTCCATACGCAAGGCAAACCAAATGTGGGAGGGGAAATGATTTGCTCCAGGTCACCCAGTGGGTCTCCAGCCGAGACTGGACTAGAATCCAGATCTCCTGAGTCGTAATCCAGAGCAGTGGTTGGCCCGCGCTGCTTCCCGCAGCCCCCTTTGGCCTGGAGCGGCAAACCACGGCCAGTGGGAGCTGCGATCGGCCGAACCTGTGGATGCGGCAGGTAAAAAAAACCAGTCCAGCCTGCCAGGGGCTTTCCCTGAACAAGCAGCGGACTGGCTTTGAGAACCACTGGTCCAGAGCCTTCGCCACTGTACCACATACATGCTCTCTTATGGTACACGCATATGTATTACGTTATGGCATATAGATGCTAAGTTATGGTATATACATGTAAGTTGCTGTATACAGATGCTATGTTACAACATATACATGGTAAGTTGTGATATATTTGCCAGAAGCTGGGAATGAATGACAGGGGATGGATCACTTGATGATTGATTCCCTGTTCTGTTCATTCCCTCTGGGGCACCTGGCATTTGCCGCTGTCAGAAGACAGGACACTGTGCTAGATGGACCTTTGGTCTGACCCAGTAGGGCCGTTCTTTTGTTCTTATGATAGACGCTATGTTACAACACATACGTGTTATGTAGCATTTTGGGGGAAGTTACGTTTCTGGTTTTAGCAGGAAGTTCCGCCATTTCAAAATTGTTTTTTGTTCCGAATGGGAATGAAACGTAGAATTTCAACAATTCCTCCTAAATGAATTTTTTTTTAATTTTTTCGAGTCAATTGATTTGGATTGTTTTAAATTATATCAAATAAATTGTGAAACAAAAGAAAACAGAGCATTCTGTTGCATGATCAAAACACTTTGTTTAGGTGATTTTTCATAAAAAAATGAAATTCTGTGGAAATCAGTATGTTTCTGACAAAAAAAACCACCCCCATTCTGTTGGGAAATTTTCAACCAACTCTAAGGCTATTCTGTACAGGTGCCACTTTACATATACGGTGCTGAGTTATGGAATATAGGTGCCAAGCTGTGGCATATAGGTGCCAGTTTACAGTATGTGGGTGCTTCTGTATGGTATATAGGACCCACGTTGTGCTATATAGGTGCTAAGTATCATCCACCATGCACTGTTTGATCCCTGCCAGGAGACCCCCGGAGGACCCTAACCAGCTTCAGCCAGGATGGAACCTTCCACTATGATACTTTCCTCTTGAGCGAAGATGAAGGCACTCTGTATGTGGGAGCTCGAGATACCATCCTCTCCCTCCGGGTGGACAGTGCTGGGTCCATGGAGCTGACAGGCTCAGTGAGTAGAACTCGGCCTTCCCCAGAGAGTGGGGAGCATTTGGGGTGCAGGAGGGAGGCAAGCTGATCCCGGAGGCGGGGCAAGTGGAAGTCAGATCTGGGTTCTGTTCCTCTTCCCATGCCTCAGTTTCCCCATCTGTAAAGTGGGGATAATGTTACTCAGGAATTGTGAGTTGTAATTCATGAATGTTGGTAAAGTGCTTTGAACCTTAAGCAGAAGCCTCTAGAGAGAACAGAACTGAAGTAAAGAGTCCTGACTCCCTAACCCCCTTGCTCTGACCACTAGATCATACTCCCCTCCCTGAGAATTTTGCTCTCAGCAGCTTCCTTTCCTTCCAGTGCACTTTTACAGGCTCTTGACCTTTTCTCCAGGTGGAATCTTCCTCCCAAACTTTGAAGAATCTCTCTCTTTCCCCCCTTACAGATAGTGTGGCAACCCGTGCCTGAAAAAAAGCAGGAGTGTGTCTTTAAGAAGAAAAGCAATCTGGTAAGGAGCTGGGGGAGATGCTGATGCTGGTGTGGGTTGTATTATGCCCCTTGAGGGCACAGTTAGTCTTGGAGTGTATATGGAGGGCGTGGAGAGCTGGCAACAATGCTGAAGGGTGGGTGCTGGGGTGGGTGGGTGCTTTGTGGTGCCGTGAGAGGTGGTGTCAAGCCAGGTGCAATTCCTGAGCCTGGTTTCTCACTCCCACAACTTGCAAAGGAAGCAATAGTGCTTGCTGGTGGACTAGGTGGCATTCTTCTCAGGGTCTCAGCGTGGGGTCCCGGGGGCGCTGGCTTGTGCTTGGGGTCTTTTAAAACATCCCATGCATGGGGGTGTTAATCCTGGTGTCCTGGCTAACTCTTCATTTGCCTCCCTAACTTCCCCTTGCAGCTCAGCTTGGTCGTGTTCTTCTTCTCCTAAACTGTACAGCTATCATGCTCCACTCTAGAGGTGGCTGCTTTTTAGGGCTGGGTGAGTGATCCCTGTGCAGCATTGCTATGCGCTGTTGAACAGCTGTCGCGTTCCACTTCAGAGGTGGATGCTGTTTAATGCTGACTAGTGATCCCTGTGTAGCATTGCTCTGTGTTATTGAACTGCTGCTAAGTCCCACCCCAGAAGTGGCTGCATTTTAATTATGGGTAAGTGATCCCAATGAGATGTTGCTGTTAAATCACGGCTGCATTCCACCCCAGAGGTGGCTGCATGTCAGTGCTGAGCATAGTGACCCTGTTCTGTGCAGCCCGTGAAGCAACCTGAAATCTGAGCTGTTGTTTTTTAAGTGGCATGTGCTTTTCTCCCACAGACAGAGTGCTTCAACTTCATCCGTGTCCTAGAGCCAGTGAATCAGACTCACCTGTACACCTGTGGGACCTATGCCTTCAGCCCCACCTGCTCTTACATTGTGAGTGTCTGCGTTGGGCTGGCGGGAAGCTCTGACTCCAGCACCTTCTGTCTGAGTTTCACCCGGCACATCGCGTCAGAGCCTGCATTCCGGAAATGGGCCGAGGCTCACAGAAGAGGCAGGTCTGGTCTGTGATTGACACTGAGGCTGCTGGCCACACAGAGACCTTGTGACTCTCTCTGGCCCTCCAGTTCCCCAGACTGCACTGTGTAGTGTTACCTAAATCCTGACCCGGACTGGCGGGACACAGAAGGCAAAGGGGTTTAGGCACCTAATGACACAGCTAGGCACCTCTTGGGATTTACAGTAGCACCTTAGTCCCATTGGTCTTCAAAGGGAATTAGGTGCCTAGGTGCATTTGAAGATCCCAATAAATGCCTACCTTTATCTTTAAGCACTTAAACGCTGGAAAATCTGGCCTTTATTGACTGCCTTGTCAATGATGTGTGTGAGAGAGAGGAGACCAAGAGAGCAAAGAGGGCGGAGTCAGGACTCCTGGGTTCTATTTCTAGCTCTGAGAGGTAGTGTGGTCTAGTGGTCAGAGCGAGTAGGGGGGATAGCTCAGTGGTTTGAGCATTGGCCTGCTAAACCCAGGCTTGTGAGTTCAATCTTTGAGGGGGCCATTTAGGGATCTGGAGCAAAAACTGGGGATTGGTCCTGCTTTGAGCAGGGGGTTGGACTAGATGACCTCCTGAGGTCCCTTCCAACCCTGATATTCTATTATTCAGAGTCAGGGCTTGAATTCTAGTCTCTACAGAAGAGGCTTTGCTGCCCTCTGTTGGCTCTGTGTGTATGCTAAGCAGCCTCTTATATTTTCTGGTTATTTTCCTTTCCAGATGAAAGGCTCGGGTTTACGGGAGAAGTGGTGAGTTTACAGGAACCTGGGTCAACATTTTCAAACCTGGCCTCTGATTTTCTCAAGTTGCGCAACCAAAAAGAAGTAGATATGCAAAAACAAGCGGCCACGTTTGAGAGTAGTTGGCCCTGTTCTTTTGGAGTCACCAGAAGAGAGAGCTAATCTGAGCTATCCTGGGTTCTCTTCCAAAATTCACGGGTGTCCTGATTTTGGGTTCCTGGTTATTGGGATTCCATTATAATTTGACTTTATTGGGGTTATATTATGAGTGTGGCGTAATGGATACAGCCCTGGGCCAGGTCTCAGAAGACCTGGCTTCCATTCCTGGCACTGCCATTGGCCTGTGGGTGACCTCCTTGGTAAAACGCATCGATTATAATATAACATAGAGAGTTATCTTTATTATGAAAGTTGGATTCCCCCGTCCTGTTGCCTGGAGGGGATCTGTCTCTAGACTGAACTCAAGTGACCACCGTTTGCTTTGTTCTTGTCCTGCGACTGATGGATTGATTTCTAATTCCTTGCAGAATCTGGAGAATTTCAGCCTGGTTTCTGTCAGCCAAGGGCAGCCCCTCCTCCAGGATGGGAAGGGACAGTGCCCCTTCGATCCCAGCCACAAGTATACGGCCATCCTGGTGGGTGAGTATGGAGCCCGTAGGAAACCATGGGCTGCGCAGTGACTGCGTGATGGGGAGGGAGGTGGAACCCGCAGCCCTACCGTTATTGTGCCTCGAAGCAGAGGATTCGGTCTTGAGCTGCACCCGTCAAGTCCCATGTCTTCGGTGCAGCAAGTCCAGGATTCAAAGGCCTGGGGCTGGCTTGAAAGAGGCCTTTAAGGTCCTGCTGTCATCCTTTGATGCTGTCTTAGAGATGTAGGTTTATCCCTCAATGCCCGGGTAACCCACTCTGATCCATCAGGATAACGAGTCCCAGGTCTCAAAGCACTTTACCTCTCTCTGACTAAATAACCAAGCCCAGAGGCACCGGCACTGCTGCCGGCCTGGGCTTCCCTCACCGCCTCTCTCCTCCTGCAGGTGGGGAGCTATACACGGGGACCATGAACAACTTCCAAGGCAACGAGCCCATAATCTCCCGCGCCCTGAGCAGCAGGACCTTGCTGAAGACCGATGCCTTCCTCAGGTGGCTGAATGGTGAGGATGGGTAGGAGGGCCTGCTCCTGCTGTGGGGAAGGGCAGGGGCTGAGGTAGCATCTGAAATCGACAGCTGCCCATTTATGGTCTTCCAGACACAGGACCTGACTCTTTTACCTGGTGGGGATGGGATGAGAGGCTGCAACACCCTTTGAGCTGAGGCTGTGCTCAGGCTGGCTCCGGGGCCAGTTAGAGCAGCCTCGGGGCTGCTCTAATTTACACTGGGCTCCCTGTGGCCCCCTGCCATCCCTGGAAAGCAGAGAATAACCACAGCACAGTGCACTCTACTCATGCCCACAATCTGCCCCCTCAGCTGGGGCAGGTGCAGCTCCACGATGGCCAGGGAGGACCCTGCTCAGGAAGGATTCTCAGGGGACCAGTCCCCCTCTCGTTAAGGCCCTTTAGCTGCTTAACAGGGCCTCACATCAGTGGGAATCAGGCCCAGGGACTCTTTGCTCGGGTCGCCGTCACCTATTAGCCAACAGGCGAATGGCTGGTGCCCACTGGCCCTCGGATGTGTTTCCTAGGCAACAAGTCCACCGTCTCCCATGAATATTTACATGCCCCCCCATCTGCCCTTGGGAAGCAGTGCGCAGGGATTCGGCATCTAACCTGCCTGGTCTCCTTCTCCCCACAGTCGACGCGGGCTTCGTGGCCTCCGCCAACATCCCTGGAGACGAGAAGGTCTATTTCTTCTTTGAGGAGACGGCCGAGGAGTTTGATTTCTTTGAGAAGCTCATGGTCTCCCGAGTGGCTCGTGTGTGCAAGGTATGAAGCAGGCCCGAGTTGGCTCTTGGAGCACGTGTGCGCCTATGTCTCGTACTCTCGCATTGTGGTCTCTCCTGCTTGTGGCCTGCCCCGGTGATGACAACTGACCCACCAGTAACACAGGGCCTCCGTTCTGCCTTCCGTGGCATCTAGGCAGCTTGATTGCCTTCAGATCTGTGCCGGGGGCCTTGCATAGATGTAGCTGATGGGACCATAGTAGACAGTGACATTGATGAAGAATAAAATTCAGTTACCCCCTCCCAGAGCTGGGCTCTAGCCAAAATCTGGGACGGTTCCATTTGGATGAAAGGTGGTTGGTGTCACCTGTTTATTTACAGATATAGACAGATGCTGCCCCATTTCCCTGGGGCCCAAGAACCAGCTGGCTGGCCCGCCTCCACTGCCTTTCAGGGTCACTCTGCAACTGTTCCTGCAGCCACGCCCTGCATTCGGACCCCATCGCTCCACGTGGGTTATGGGGCGGCGTGAGCACCGTCTATACGCATCTGTGTGGGGGACAAATATTTGATGATGGGCTCTTCAGTCTAGCAGGAAAAGGTCTAACACGAGCCAATGGCTGGAAGTTGAAGCCGAACAATTTCAGACAGGCAATAAGGCGTCAATTTTTAACAGTGAACGTAATTAAGCATTGGAACAAAAGACCCAGGGTCATGGTGGATTCTCCATTTTTAAATTGGATTTTTTTCAAAAGGAGCTGCTCGAGGAATGATTTTGGGGCAGCTCTCTAACCTGTTCTATACAGGAGGTCAGGCTAGACGATCACAATGGTTCCTTCTAGCCTTGGAATCTATTAATCCTGTATCTTAAGCTGGCCCACTAGCCTCCTAACAGCCCGTTACCACTGTCTGGGTGGTTTCCTGCTCGTGTCCACCTTTTTAGTTCCTCATATCTCACTGACTGCGCACGAGGGCTTATTACATCATTGTCTGGAACATCAGCTGATCAGAGCCTGGTGGTTGGTTTACTCACCACAGTTGTACCTCTAGAACTCCCCCTTCTTATTTTGAGCAGGGGATTGAGTTTGGGTCTACCCACAGGGCCATCCTTCCTCTCAGACCTTCCCTTCATTCAGAATAACTCTTCCCCTTTCCGGGGCAGCACACACACACGGAGTTGTACCAGCACAATGGCAGCATGGCTGCGTGCTGACCCCCAGGACAAGCCGTCCTCTTAGCCATCCCTTTAAGGAGAGGCCCTGTTCCGGTCCGGGTGACCGGGCATTCCTCTCTCCTGCAGAATGACGTCGGAGGAGAGAAGGTGCTGCAGAAGAAATGGACCACGTTCCTGAAAGCCCAGCTGATGTGCTTCCAGCCGGGACACTTCCCTTTCAACGTGATCCATCACGCCTTTGTCCTACCCCAGCCAGGAGGGGGCGCCGTCTTCTATGGAGTCTTCACTTCACAATGGTAAGGCAGGAAACTTTCCTCTCCTGCCCAAAGGGCTCAGAAATCCCCCAAGGACCCATGTATTCCCAGGCCCGCACAGCCACAAGTCCCCTATCGCAAGAAGGACATTTTGGGGGGTGGGGTCTGTCCATCAGGCCCATTCAAATGGGTATGCTGAACCCAGAAAGTAGGACCCCTTCTGCGTTATGGTTCATCCTGAATATTTCGTTATTGCAGCAGATGTAATTAACCTGTGGAACTGCTTGCCACATGGTATTGCTGAAGAAGTTGCTTAGTAAATTTCAGACCTAAGAGATGAGACTGGTGTCTAGTGGTTAGAGCAGGTCAGGACTCTTGGATTGTAGTCCCACATCTAGGCGTGAATGTGATCTAATTGAGCACTTGGGACTGGGAGTTGGCATGCCTGGGTTCTTTGCTCAGCTCTAGGAAGGAGCATGGGCCAGTGGCCAGAGGGGGCTGCGAGTCAGGACTCCTGGATTCTATTCATAGGCAAGTGCCTGTCACTGTGGGGTGGTGAGGGTTGATGCTTTGCAAGTGTTTGGAGGCCCTGGATGGAGGTTGCTGTGGAAGCACCTGGCATTATTATTTCAGAAGGTTTATATGGCCAAGGAACAGCCCTTCTAGAGGGCCCCAAAGGGGTGGACTTCCCATGCCCACTGACCCACACGTCACAGGCAGGGTGTGGCTGGATCCCACATCTGACCTGCCCACCTCAGGGTGTCCCCCTAGCGCTGGCGTGTACCACCAACAGGATCACTCGTCCCTTGGCAGGCAGGCGGGAGATGCAGGCAGCACGGCGGTGTGCGCTTTCAACCTGGAGGACATCGAAAGAGTCTTCAATGGCAAATACAAGGAGCTGAACAAGGAGAGCTCCCGGTGGATGACATACAGCGATGCGGTCCCTGAGCCCCGCCCGGGCAGCGTGAGTATCATCTGCTTCACGCATCGAACTTCGCGGCATGAGGATGTGCGCCGAAGGATGACTTTGCAGGACAGGTTTGGGGTGAAGCCAGGCGGCGGGAACTCAGGACACCTGGGTTCAATTTCTGCCGGGGCCGCTGACTTCAGGCAAGGCACTTAATTGCTCCGTGCCTCAGTTTCCCTGGATAATAGTCCATCTGCCTTGCTTTTTACGGGAAGCTGGCATAATCAACTGTGCTTTCCCCCTTTGCAAGGGTGCCTAGAACAAAAAAAAAACCCAACCCCCTAAGCCTGTCACTAGCCCAGTTCCCACTTCTGATAGCCCTTCTGATCCCCTGCCTTTGTCCTCCCACTGCAGTGCTCAGTGCGCCCATCGGCAGACAAAGTCCTGACCTTCATGAAAAACCACTTCCTGATGGATGGGAAGGTTGTGCCCAGGAACAAGCAGCCGGTGCTGGTGAAGCAGAACGTGAAATATACGCGGATCGCAGTCGATCAGACCCGCAGTGTCTCGGGCACCTCCTATGAGGTGATGTTCCTGGGAACAGGTACAGCTCCCATGAGCAGGGGACAGCACCTCGTCAGTGCGTGGGGCTGGATTCTGCACCCAGCTGAGTGTTTACCCAATGGGAAAGCTCCCATTGGCGTCAGTGGGATGGGGGCAGGCACTTATCGCCGGAGTCAGACGGGTCATTCGTTTTCCGGTGGTTGATTCAGGTGATTCAGGTGGAAATGAAATGAAATGAAACTTTTTGGGGTTTGGAATGAAACGAAAAAGTAAAAAAAAAAATAAAAAATTAGTTTTTGAGGCTTTTTTACCTTTTGAAAAAAATGAAATTGAAAATTCAAAGAAAATGTAAACATTTTGACAATTTTGTTTGCCAATTTGTGTATTTGTTATTTTGGAATTTGTGTGTTAGCAGAGCAGGGAGGTGTTTCTCCCCATTCTGCTGGCCAATCTCAGGTCTGTTAATTGCACCCTGCCCATTGCACTTTCAGTTAGATATGTCTCTCCTTCACTTCCTGTCCCATGCATTGTTAAACACATTTACCGCTCTTCACCCCAGAGGTGGCTGCATTTTAGTGGTGGACAACGTGGTTTCTATAAGCCTGACAAGGTTGGTGCCAGCCAGCTAACAAAGTGCTTTGGAGGCATATTGGGGCAAAAGGTCCCATATAAACGAAGGGTCGTTCTCTTTTAATTAAGCAAATTGTGTGTGAGAGAGAGAGAGAATTGAATAGACTAGCCATTTAGATCCAGATACTCCACTTCCACTGAAACTAAGAACTTAAAAACCTTTGTTACACACAGTCAACTTAGAGAAGAGATCAGCTCCTCAAAGAGAGGATGCATTGTCTCAGCCCCATGGTAAATACACTTGTGTCCCTATATTTCCTCCCACAGATCAAGGATTCCTGCACAAAGCAGTGGCTCTGGCCAGCGGTGCTCATATCATTGAGGAAATCCAGCTGTTTAAGGACCCGGAACCTGTGCAGAACCTTCTGTTCTCACCTGGGAAGGTAGGAGACTTGCAGAGCTGCCTGGTGCAGCAGACAGGAAGGGGAGACGCTGCCCAGGGGGCTAAGTAGGTGATGTAGACGTAACTGTGTGACATTTTCTGTGTGTCTCCCCCCCGGCAGGGGATCCTGTATGTGGGGTACTCCAAGGGGGTCCTGCAGGTGCCGCTGGCCAACTGCAGCGTGTACAGGAGCTGTGCTGACTGTGTCCTCGCCCGAGACCCCTACTGTGCCTGGCACGGGCGCAGCCAGTTGTGCCAGGAGACCCGAGCCACAAACAAAAACACGTGAGTAGCTCAGTGTGTGGAACAGCTCAGGTGTAACTTCCGAGAGGGAAGCAGGCATGTCTAGTGGTTAGAGCAGAGCCTGGCCAGTCAGGACTCTTGGGTTCGACTCCCTGCTCTGGGAAGGGAGTGTGCTCTAGTGGTCAGAGGAAGGGGGCTGGGAGTCAGGATTCCTGGCTCTGTTCCCAAGTCCAGGATGGGGTAGGGCGGGGGTGGTTAGAGCAGGGGACTGGGAAATAGGACTCCTGGGTTCCATTCTGCCTTATCCCACCGTGTGAATTTAGGAAAGTGACTTGCTTTATTTCCTGCCTGCAAAGTGGGGAAAATAACACTCCCCTGCCTCCCAGAGCTTGCCAAGTGCTTTGAGATCCTCCCAGGACAGCTGCTCTAGAAGGGCAGATGGGTATTTCTGGGCCTCGGGGAGTGCGGGGAGAGGGGAGGGCGAAAAGCCCCTAGTGTTCCCTGAGCACTAGCCCGAAGGACCGCCCACCAGGAATACAGCCCTGCGGTGTCGCTAATGCACTTTGCTAGCTCTGACGGGCACTCTCAGAGCATGTGCCACTGGCCAGTCACCTGTGGGTGTCAGCCAGGATCCCTGCAACAGCCACGTGCTTCCTAGTCCATGGACCCACTGCTCAGCTGCCCTCAGCTTTCTTCTTCCTGATTGCTTTGCAATAAGCTCACGCCAGGAAATCGGTGCCTTCCCAGCTCTTGTCCTCTCCTCCACAGCGGCTCTCTGGATACATCCAAGCTGCTATTTTTAATACGCTCCCTCTGGCCCCACTAGCACCCATCTGTCCACCTGGCCTGCGAGGCTCCCAGCTGCCCTCCGAGGCTGCCTTGTCTCCCTGCCCCGGCTGAGGCACTGGCAGGCGAGACCTGAGATTGTCCGTCAGCCAGGAGAGGTTTTAGAAACAAACAAACCAACAAACTTTGCCAGTGAAGCTGGGGCTACGTGGTGGAAGGAGAGGAGCTGCTGGTTCCCACAGCCCGTGCGCTTCCATCCCAATCCACAGGCTCCCACCCCCTCCCGCTGTCCCAGCCCTGAGCTCCCCACCCACACAACTCTGCCAATGCCCCTCGCTTTTGCAGAACTCCCTGTGCTGCCAGTCCTGGGCAGACTCTACAATCTCACCAAGCTGCACCCAGATCTGGAGGGTGATGGCTCTGATTGATAATAAGACAGAAAATATTATGTTGCCTCTATATAAATCTGTGGTAGGCCCACATCTGGAATACTGCGTGCAGATGTGGTCGCCCCATCTCAGAAAAGATATATTGGAATTGGAAAAGGTTCAGAAAAGGGCGACAAAAATGATGAGGGCACGGAACAGCTTCCATATGGGGAGAGATTAATAAGACTGGGACTTTTCAGCTTGGAAAAGAGACGACTAAGAGGGGATAGGATAGAGGTCTATGAAATCATGACTGGTGTGGAGAAAGTAAATACGGAAGTGTTATTTATTCCTTCTCATAACACAAGAACTAGGGGTAATCAAATGAAATGAATAGGCAGCAGGTTTAAAACAAACAAAAGGAAGTATTTCTTCACACAACGCATAATCGGTCTGTGGAACTCCTTGCCAGAGGATGTTGTGAAAGCCAAGACTATAACAGGGTTCAAAAAAGAACTAGGTAAGTTCATGGAGGACATGTCCCTCAATGGCTATTAGCCAGGATGGGCAGGGAGGGTGTCCCTAGCCTCTGTTTGCCAGAAGCTGGGAATGGATCACTGGATGATTCCCTGTTCTGTTCATTCCCTCTGGGGCACCTGGCATTGGCCAGCAACCAGCTCACCTGCCGTCCCCACGTCAAGCAGCGGCTTGAGAGCGAATTCATTGCCTTGGGTTCTCAGTGTGTCACTTCTCTCTCTCTAGGAGCGACTGGCTGCAGGACATTGAGACGGGTAGGCCGGGGGCTACGTGCCAGCAGATCGGTGGGAAAGGCAGGGCCACGCCCAGATCTCGGGACGACTTGGGCAGCAGCCTGGTAAAAAGTTGAGTATCGATCTTCCAGGTTTACTGTGCTTGGGGCACGTGTCTAACGCCAGGTGGGACACTGACACCAGCAATGCTACGAGGGGGGCTGGGGAGACCCTCTGTGAGCCGGGGGGGGCTGCCTGCTCTAGGGAGGAGCTGCAGCCAGGGAGGAACGAACGGGGCCAAGCTCAGTGCTTCTGAGGCGTCAGGTCTCCGGTGGGCTTTGGCCCTGCTTTCTGCAAACATCGTGGAGCAAATCCCAGGAGAAACTCTTCAATCAAAAATAATGTAATCAAGGCAGCGCTCGGCCCAGTAATAAATAACACGCCAGGGTGCCAGCCCCCCTGGACCACCCTACAACACCACGCCAGGGTGCAGGGCCCCCTGGACCACCCTACAACACCACGCCACGGTGCCAGCCCCCCTGGACCACCCTACAACACCACGCCACGGTGCCAGGCCCCCTGGACCACCCTACAACACCACGCCACGGTGCCAGCCCCCCTGGACCACCACTACAACACCACGCCAGGGTGCCAGGCCCCCTGGACCACCCTACAACACCACGCCAGGGTGCCAGGCCCCCTGGATCACCCTACAACACCACGCCAGGGTGCCAGGCCCCCTGAACCACCCTACAACACCACGCCAGGGTGCCAGGCCCTCTGGACCACGCTACAACACCACGCCAGGGTGCCAGGCCCCCTGGACCACCCTACAACACCACGCCAGGGTGCCAGGCCCTCTGGACCACGCTACAACACCACGCCAGGGTGCCAGCCCCCCTGTGGGCAACCCTACAACACCACGCCAGGGTGCCAGGCCCCCTGAACCACCCTACAACACCACGCCAGGGTGCCAGCCCCCCTGGACCACCCTACAACACCACTCCAGGGTGCCAGCCCCCCTGTGGGCAACCCTACAACACCACACCAGGGTGCCAGGCCCCCTGAACCACCCTACAACACCATGCCAGGGTGCCAGGCCCCCTGGACCACCCTACAACACCATGCCAGGGTGGCCAGCCCCCCTGGACCACCCTACAACACCACTCCAGGGTGGCAGCCCCCTGTGGGCAACCCTACAACACCACACCAGGGTGCCAGGCCCCCTGAACCACCCTACAACACCACGCCAGGGTGCCAGGCCCCCTGAACCACCCTACAAAACCATGCCAGGGTGCCAGCCCCCTGGACCACCCTACAACACCACTCCAGGGTGACAGCCCCCCTTGGGCCACCCTACAACACCACGCCAGGGTGCCAGCCCCCCTGGACCACCCTACAACGCCATGCCAGAGTGCCAGCCCCCTGAACCACCCTACAACACCATGCCAGGGTGCCAGCCCCCCTGGACCACCCTACAACACCACTCCAGGGTGACAGCCCCCTGTGGGCAACCCTACAAACCATGCCAGGGTGCCAGCCCCCTGGACCACCCTCAAACAGCCAGGGGGGCCCCCTGGACCACCCTACAACACCACTCCAGGGTGGCAGCCCCCCTGTGGGCAACCTACAACACCACGCCAGGGTGCCAGGCCCCCTGAACCACCCTACAACACCACGCCAGGGTGCCAGCCCCCCTGGACCACCCTACAACACCACGCCAGGATGCCAGGCCCCCCTGGACTCCTGCAACACCACGCCAGGGTGCCAGCCCCCCTAGACAGCCCTACAATAACAAACTGTAGAGTTGCCCCTCTGTGCCCAATCCACTGAGGATTAGGGGCTGTTTTGGTGCTGGGAGCCTTAGCTCACACTTCAGCCGCTCTTGCTTTTAGCTCCGGAGGTCCCCACTGGTGCATCAGCCAACACGGTAGCCAACACATGGTCTGACACAGCAGCCGCCGCTAGCTAGCAAATCTCCCGGTTCCCAGCCAAAAGTTGCTATTCAGTGCTTCCCCGGCACTCCGCCTGCAGCCCTGCAAACCTGCCTGTGGCCAGGGCCTTTCTTCCGAAACCAGCGGTCGCTAAGCAGCCTGCCTGTTGCCAGGATCTGGATCCCCAGTGGGATGGGATCAGCTCCCGGCAAACTGTCGTTATTAAAGTTGGTAATATCGGGATTGCTGCAAACCGGCACCCAAATGTACTTAGATATACTCTTCAGTGCAGGCATTGTCTCTTCGCTCCCCGTTTCTACCGCAACCAGCGCAAGGGCGCCCTAGACAATAGTAGGTGACGGCCCGAGGTGCAGGGCAGTGGAGAACTGGGCCCGTTTACTCCAGTTTTGGCCTGGATTCTGCTCTCAGTGACACCAGTGTGAATCCAGAGTCACTCTGGTTGCATCCATGTCGTTTATACTGCACTCAGAGTCTAGCCCTTCCCGGCCTGACTTTCCGAACTGCTTTGCTCTTGTGGCAGCCCCCCTTGAGGCGCAGAATGAGGGGAGGGGGGGTGCCCAGTACCTTTGAAAATCCGGGTTTCTCACTAGGTGCCAGGGTGGATGCCCAGGTTGGAAATGGAGCTTTTTTCCCACAAGAACCATTTTTTGTTTGTAATGAAAACTGCTGATTCAGAGACACCGAAACATTTTGTGCATTCGTGTCAGTTTCACACCAATTGTTTGCCAAAAACAAACCCTGACGAATTTCCAAAACTCTTGAACCGTTTCCGTTTTTCACTTCAGCATTTCCTTCCGTTTCCGAGTGAATTAGCCACCTAAAAATGCTCAAAAATCGAACCCTTTCATTTGACCTGAAACACTTTTTGTTTTTTAACTTTTCGATTGGCCACAAAAACGGTCACTGTCGGTCCAGTTCGAAAGGAATTTTGTTCCCCCGCAAACGCCGTGACTCGCCCCGGCTCTCGTGGCAAGGGGCTGGTGCAGCTCTTTGGACAGCAGCGTCAGCTGGTCCGGGTGGGCAGCCAGAGACTCACCGCTCCCTCTCCCCTCCTTGTATCTTTCCAGCGTTGAGCCCAGCCCTGAACTCTGTGATTCGGCTGCCGTGCCCGCAGCTCTCTGCCCTGGCCGATTACACCTGGAGCTACCCAGGGCCGAAGACCCCGGCGGGGCTGACGGTGTTGGACGATAAGACCCTGGTGATCATCATGCAGCGCCAGGCAGCAGGCGAGTACACGTGCTGGGCCAGCGAGAACGGGCACCACCAACCTGTGGCCCGCTATGCGGTGCAGGACCCCACGGGGGGCGACGGCTACCCCGACGTCCTGAGAGAGAGCGGAGGGGACAGCATGGCCGGGGAAGGGCTGGAGCGGGGGGCAGGCCCGCAGGGCGGGCACCGCTCCTACTGGGCGCAGTTTCTGTCAGTGATGGTGCTGCTGTTAGTGACGCTGGCCGTAGCAATGGCCGTGGCCGCCTTCTCCTACCACAGCAGGCTCAAGGCCAAGAGCAAGGTGCAGGGTTGCAACACCCCCGAAGCCACCAAGGTGTCCAATCGGGAGAAGGTGCCGCTGAACGGAGGCCGGAGCCCACAGCTACAAGGGCCCTTCCAGGAGCGGGCCAAGGACCCCAGGGACTGCTGTGTCCAGATGGAGGGGCTGTACCAGGACATAGACGCGGACAACAACAGGTTAAGCGCCAGCCTGGGGGCCAGGCAGGGCTCCCAAGGGGCGGCTCTGGAGAAAGCTTAAGCTGGCCGTGCCTGCCCCGACCTGCCTTTCGTCTCGAAATCAGCCGTGTCGTGGTAACGAGCAGCCCTACGATAACAAACCAGTGTGTGTGTGTGTGTGGCTCACCGCTTGGGAGCAACCCTACAGTAACAAACCGGTCTGCGTCCAGCCCCCAAATTCATAACAAACGTTGTATCAGCTGGTTAGACCTCCCACACGGCGCGCGCCCAGAAACTGCACCTGCTCCTCGTCCGTTGCCAGCTGCTGCCGCCCGCCCATGTGTGGGTCGCTCCACCACTGAAGAGCGATGGGCCCCGCCTGCCTCACTGCGCTGTCTGGGCATCACCAGCAGCCAAGTCGTGGGAGGGGCGTTAAAAAAAAACCAAAAAAAAACCCCTTCCGCTTTTGGGTTTCCGCACCAACCAAGAGACAAACACGGAGCACATCTGGGGCTCTAGATGACTGGGTTCAATGGAGCTGGAGGGCAGAGCAGCACTGAAGAGAGCATGAGCCCTTCCTGGCTAGTGCCCGCTGCGGGTTCAAGCAGGGAGCAACCCCGCGGTGGGATCTGAATGTGCCCAGTGTCGCTGTGTCTATGTAGCTGCTGCTTCCCCGGCTGGTGCCCCCAGCAATTGGTGACATCCCTGCGCTGGCCTGGACTAGCTGGGAGTTGCCACGTCCCCTCTGCGAGTGCTGTGGACGAAGGCCAATAAGCGATGCTGCAGCTGCATGTTACCTAGCGTGCCCCTGGCCAGCTCGGTCCTCCCCTGTGTGGGAAGCAGTTGGTGCCAGTCGATGCCTGGGTGTAGCTCTGCTGGGGCCCAATCCGGCTCCTTACAGCTCTGAATATGGGGTCTAATGTTCTGCCTTTGAGCGCAGGGTCAGCAGTTCAAATCCAGCCGCGGCTGGCAATGATCAGACAGCTGATCCTCGTCGGCCTGCGTGCAACGAGCAGCTGGGCTCCCAGTCTAGTTCCTGCTTGGCCAGAGGTCTGGATCACAACAGCCAATGCTAACTGGCCCCCGCAACGGGGAGACCGGCGATGGCCCACATCATGGAGACTGCGCTCTGCTCTGGGGGGTGTCCTTCCATCAGAGGGCATTGAACGGTCACTCCCTGCTGTGTGTGGGTAGACGGCTTTAGGTCCTGATTCTCATTTACACTAAGGCCTCTTTAAACCACTCTGGTCCGGTAAAGGAGGTATAAATTATAGCCACGTCCCCTCTGTACTGCCGGAGGGGTATAAGGGGCCTTTTAGTGTGAGAACCAGGCTGAGTCCCTGGGGTTTTGGAGCCAACAGCCTGAAAAATCGGCTTGGGGGGAGGGGAGGGGACTTGCAAGGGGCTTTGGGGATGGGGAGGAGGCAGAGGTTGTGACTGAATGTGAAGTTGTTGTTTTTTTAATTTAATGTTTTTAGATTTAAGTTAAACTTTTCCTGGTAGCAGCGACGAGCCATCGAACCCTTTGTTTCACCACCTCTGCCAGCTGCGGAAGGAATGCAGCTACCGAAACCAGCTCCGAGCCCAGCAGCTGGCCGATAGCCACACTGACAGTGCCCAGTGGCTGGGTTCGGAGCCTCGGAGCCGGGAGCGCAAACGTGGTGCGGTTTTTGCACGAACCACTTGGTTGCACCCGGGGCTAAACACAGCCAGGCGAGTGGATTTCCCTGGGAAAGGCTTCAGATTGCTCCCTATCCAATGGGATCAGTTTGCTCGTTTCTAAAACCCTTCTTCAACCGCATCAGTATTATTTTGTGATGGATAAATTAGCCCCATGTATTGCTGGTCTGCTATAGCTCTGACACTGCTATTATGCTTCAGTGAAATCAACGCAACACGGGATGGGTTCACTTGTTACATTTTCCAGCAGCGCGGGCGGGTTCTACCAGGGTGTCCTTCGAAAATCCAGGCTTCTTTCTCAGTTACACTCACACCCACTAACCCTGCTCTGTGCAAGACTGGTTTCTCAGGCACTGTGGGCCTGATTCTCATTTACATCCAGGTCCTTTTACCCTGCTCTGTCAAGGTAGATGAGAACCAGGCTCTGGAGATTTCAGACGCTGGGGCAGTTGCATGGTTGCAAATTATGGCTTCAAGTGGCAATGCCTGTTAGCACCAGGGCTTCCAACCGTGCAACTACGCTGATGCTCGTAACCGGAGCAGATCCCCAGCTTATGGTACAATAGCCGCCTGATCTGATGTAAGAGCATTGTCTGAGCTCAGTGACAGACTCAACGCCCTTACAAAAAAACATCCAAGCAAAACTCTTCCCTGGAACCTTTCCCTCTTTCATTCTGTTCACTGGATAAAAATGGGTGTATCTACATGGAGATTGCTATGTGACTGTGAAATCCTGCTGGAGACAAGGCCAGGGAGTTTTTACCTTGATGTGGCTAGTCAAGGTGAACTCCAGGAGGGGCAGGGTTCACTTGGACAAGCCACACTGACAGCTACCTGGGCCTCGTCGGCATGTGGAGTTTATTCTGAGGTACGCAGGCCTTTCCGCAGTGAAGACCTAGCCTGTGTGTGCAACCTCCTGCTCTCATTCATGTGCCGTCTACTGCTCTACAGTGACTAGATTCTTCGATCAAGGGCCTGAGCTTTTACAGTCAGGACAAAGCCCATTCTATCTCTCTGTGTCGCTGATCACCGGGGTCTGTGCCACGTTGTTCGGACTGCAGTGGCAAGCACAGCTTTCGGGCCTGATCCTCCGCTGGCGTCCATCAGCGTAGCACCTTGGGCTCAATGCGTATCTATACCCGCTGGGGATCAGGCACTATTAACTTCAGCGGAGCTGGACCAGTTTACACCCGCTTGGGATCTGGGCCCATTAACGTCAGTGGAGCAGGGCCACATTAAACCAGCTGGGGATCTGCCCCTTCATTGCTTGTTTTATGATGTTTAACCTTATTTTTTTTAAAGAAAGATGTACATCTTCCTGCTCTGGATACATTTTATTTTTTATTAAAAAGCGAATGTCACACTCACGTGCTGCTTTTCTATTCTTATGTAAAGCGCGTGTGGCTAATGAGAGAGAAAGGGCCTGATTCTCCATTGCCCTGTACCTTCCCCGTCATTTACACCAGTACCAAAGGGTGTGAAACACTACCCTTCTGCATTGATGGCCCTTTGCACTGGTGTAAATGACTGGTGTAAAAATATCTGTTTAATAACCAAGGACTGGATTCCATTTCCTTTGATTGTTGGTCTTAAAGGAGCTAAATTTACTTGATGTTTAATACCATAGGGATTACCCCAAACACTATTGAAAGGCAGCTGGCTCTGGGATGAACGCCTTTTAACAGCTCTCAGCAACACTACAGGATGAGAAGCAGCAGAGAAGCTGTTTGTTGAGTCAGAAGGGTTAATATATTAATACGCATGTCTAGTGGCTTGCATAGCTCTGTGATAAAGTGGGCATCATTGTCTCCATTTGACACAGGGAAAATGAGGCACAGAGCAGTAGGAGTGACTTTCCCAAGGCCGTCAGCAGAGCTGGGAGCCAGGACTCGTCATTACCAGCTGCCTACTCTGTTAACTTTTCTCCAGTAGGAGGTAAGCTCCTAAATTCCTTTGAGGAGCCGCAAGATTCCAAAGAACCACAATTTTGTGCACACAGCAACTCATAACTCCTTGCGGGAGCATTGATTCAGCATCTGATCCGAGGTATGAGCACTCCCTTACTGAGTCACCAGCACACCAGTTACATCTACGTCCCCAATGCCGCTCAGTTTGTTAGATGAGACAAGATCACAGTGTTATCGCTGCAAATCAATCTATGGCCTCCATCCCTGTAGCATCTCAGCACTTCACAATTGCTAATGTGTTTATCCTCACGCACACCCTATGAGTCAGGGCAGTGCTATTATCCTCGTTTGTCAGATGAGAAACTGAGGCCCAGAGAAACTAAGGCCCAGATCCTCAAAAGTGTTTAGACACCAAAATACTTTTGAAGCATCTGGGCCTAGGCGATTTGCCCAAGGTCAAACAGCAAGTGCGCAGCGGAGCAGGGAATTGAAGCTAGGTTTCCTAAATCCCAGGCTAGTGTCTTAACCACTAGGCTGTCCTTTCTTTGGGAAAAGCAAAACCAGACCTGGTTGTTATGGATTAATCTTCAAAGGCGTGTGGCTCCTGCTGACTTCAAGTGCAGCTGTTTGCTCAGCACTCATGCAAAGCAGGGCTTTATCAGCCAAACTCATCTGCCCCACCTGTACACCCATCTCACTTCAATAAAGAAGGAAGGCAAGAAATGGGTCATGAACCAGAGGGACCTAATGGCAACTTTCTCTCGGACAATGTGAAAAGACAAGTATGGGCTGACAGCTGTGAACTGCCAGGGATCAACAAAAGGAGTGATTTGAAACCGTGATCTCGGAAGAGCTAGCATGCTCACAGGTCTGAAAGAAGCATGCTCCTTACACTGTAATTACAGTTTTCCTGTGGTCCTCTAGGAGGGATTAAAAGCTTCTGGCCCTTTCTTTGAATTACACAAATTTTCTGTCCCTTTAAGTGCCTCTTTCCTATTAAGAAGGACTGTTTTAAGGATTGTTACTTGACTATCCCTTTAAAGAGTCATTATTTGGTTTGGTTCATTAAGAGTCATTAATTGTCTCTTTGTTCGCAATGTTCTAGCCATGTTGGTCCCAGGAAATTAGAAAGACAGGGTGGGAGTTGTAATAGTTTTTATTGGACCAGCTTCTGCTGGTGAAACAGACAGGCGTCCCAGCTACACAGAGTACGCCTGGGGGCATTCTGCGCTGAAAAATGATAAATTCTGCACACAGTATTTTAAAATTCTGCAAAATTGATGCAAATTTTATTTACCAAAATAGCACTACATAATCATGCCAGTTTCAATTATTTTACATCTGAAGAAGTGGGTTTTTTACCCACAAAAGCTTATGGCCAAATAAATCTGTTAGTCTTTAAGGTACCACCGGACTTCTAATTATTTTGGTAATTTATTTCAAAATACCTGTCAGCAAGTATGTCTGTAACAATCAGACACACACAAAAATTCCCCCAGAAGTAGAGAGTTAAAGAAACCCCTATGACAACCTAGTTCCTGTTTCTCTGCCTCCTCCCCCCCACCCCCAGAGCCCAGCTCAGGGGCCAGAGACCCACAACCTCTCCCCCGCCCTGAGCCGACCTGCGGGGCCCCCCCAGGCAATACACCCTAACCCCCTCCTCTCCAGAGTCCAACCACAGGGCCCCCCCAGCCCAGATAACTGCATCCCGTCCACCTCCCAGAGCCCAGCTGCAGGCCCCACCTTGCCCAGACACACCTGCCCCCCCAGCCCAGGGATCCAGAGGGAGAAATAACCTGATGCTCTGTCCCAGGCTTGCAAAGAGTTTCCTGCACGCCACCCTCTCCTTCCCTCAGGGCATGCTGGGAATTCCAGCTGCCAGGAACCATTAGCTCCCTCTCCCTCCCCCCCAGCAGTGCCTTCTATGTGCAAGCTGGGCTCTGCCGAGTCCAGTGGCCCCTAGTGGCGGCTAGCAGCATTGCAGCCCATTTCTGTGGGGGAAGGAAATTCTACACACACAATGTTAATTTCTGCAAAATTCTGCATTGCGCAGTGGTGCAGAATTCCCCCAGGAGTAACAGAGCTCTTCTTCAGGTCTGGGAAAGGTATTCAGGAGTGTCATAGCTAAACACAAGGTGGAACTTGTTTAGCATAAGGAGTTAACACATATTCTAAGGGACCCTGCAAGGCGAAGTGGCTCATTAACACCCCTGCAGTTAGAGGATAAAAAGGGGGTTTACAGATTGGCTTGATGTCTTATTCCGACAATTGTTATTAAGACCACAATCGTTAATTCCTAGCCAAGTTGTGAATTTAAGCTCCCAGGTTTGTCTTTTGAAGGTGTTGTGCAGGCTTCCTTTGCAGCTGAGGACTGAGAGATCTGATATGAAGTGAACATTTTGTGAAAAGTGTTCACCTCTGGGTGATATGGTGTTTTTGTCCTTTATCATTTTTCTGTGTGAGTTCATTTGAGAGTGTAGTGATTGTCTAGTTTCACCGACACACTTGTTGTTGGGGCTGTTAATGCACTGGATGAGTACAGCACATGTTGTGATCGGCAGGTAGGTGTAGGACCCCTGGATCTTGAAAGGTGTGTTCTGGGCATTATAAATCTTTGCAGCCGTGGCGATACATCTGGAGGTTTTGCATGTTGTTACAGCAGGATCTGGTACTGCCAACTTTTATTTTTCTGGGTGGGTGCTCCACCCCCCACTCTGCCCCAAGGCCCCGCCCCCATTCCACCCCTTGCCCCAAGGCCCCACCCTTGTTCTGCCTCTTCCCTCCCCCTCTCCGAGCCACTCCGCCTCTTCTTGCTCCCACTCCACCCCCTCCTCTCAGCGCCTCCTGCCCACGTGAACAGCTGATTGGCAGGTGGCCGCTGAGCGGACACTATTCTTTTCCCTGGTTGCTCCAGCACCCATGGAGTCGGCACCTATGCCAGTGACCACCCCAAACCCACCAAAAAAAATATTATCTACTGCTGGGCCCTCCCCTACCATAGAATAGGCTCCCAGGAGAAAGGCCAGGGTACGCACCTCAACACGCTTAACATCCACCTTCGCCAACCAAGGACATTCCACAAGAGAAGTCGATCACACCATGGAACGGGCTGGCCACTGGGCCGGTATTAAACCGGACCGCTTTGCTTTTCAAGGGTTTGTCCCCTATCCGGTACACAAGCAAAACCAGGCATGGTTTTGTCCGGTATTGGGGGTGGGGGGTGAGATGATGTTTTTAAGAGCATGCCACTCTGCCCCTGCCAGCATGACCTCATATGCAATGTAACACTGACGGAAGTGAAAAATGGCACACGCGCACACCCGGGTGGTAACGTTCCCTCTAATTTTTGACAGGCCCTGCGCACAAAAAATTTCTTCTGTGCAAATGTTTGTGTGCGTGGTGTTTCGCCGTGTGCATGGGGTTTAGGATCTGTGTGCACGCCCACATGTGCACAGTGCCCTGCCCTGTGATCTTGCAGGCACCATGCATCCTAGGCTGCACCCGCGGGGGTGGGGAAGTGAGCTCTTAAAAATGCCCCCCTCCCCCGCAGCACCACGCTCTTAAAAAAGACATGTGCCCCAGGTCACGCTGGCCAGGGTGGGGTCACGGCAGCAGGAGCCGACCCACGCCATTTGCAGAACACCCGGGAATGTGTGGGTGACCCCCCACCCCCACCCCCAAACACCTCGAGAGAACCTGGTTCGATGCCAGTTACATACTCCATGGGGAACCACACCCTGAAAAATTCCTGGCTGACCCCCCTTTTCTAATCTTCGAAGAGCCCCCCGCAACCTGGCCAAGCCCCCCAGATCAGGACCCACCAACTCAAAACCCACCACACCCTCCCCCTCTCTGCCCTGCAGCCCACGTGCAGCACCCGTGGCTGCTGCAAGCCTCAGAACCCAAGCTGGCGGGGGGGGGGGGAAAGCTGTGAGCGCGCATGCTCATTGCACGACTAAGCCTTGCGGGCGGCCATGTTTGACTGGGGCAGAGGAGGGCGGACGCCATCTTTGTTAAGGCCAAGAATCACGCGAGGGAACTGGGCCGGGCGAGGCTTCTGCCCGCACCTAAGATGGCGGGGCAGGCCGGGCTGGTCATTGGCCGAGCGGACGGCCACGCGAGCCGCGCCTCCCTCCGCTGACTTCCGGCCGGGGGGTGGGGCGGGTGCCGGCTGCTGCTGGCCCAGGTCTCGGGGGCGCCATGGGGGCGGAGCAGGGGCCTGGGGGCGCCCGCCCGAGGTGAGTGAGAGGCGGCCGCGCAGGGGGCGGGGCTTAGCTGGGGGGGTCCCAAGGGGGCTCTGCGACAGCGCTCACCTGGGGTGGGGGCGGCAGCTGGGGGCCCAATGGGGAGGCAATTGGGGGGCTCGGGAGACAGTTGGGGGGCCAGGGTGCGACATATGAGGGGCCAGGCAGGGGCAATGTGGGTTTTGGGACAGGGCCCACCTTGGGGGGCAGGGAGGG